CATCTCAACATTTTACTAATGTGACAGTACAATTATTGGGTACTAGAAACGTAACCTGAACATCCCAACATTTTACTGATGTGACAGTACTATTATTGGGTACTAGAAACGTAATACTACCATTTTACCAATGTGACATAGAAACTAGTCTAAGCAAGTTAGTTGTATGTGACTTGCAAATTAACATATTCAAATTAGGTAATAGCATTTTACATTATGAAACTGCAATTATTTGAGCACATCCCTTGTAATAGTTTTTATTTTATTCAGAGTATAGTACTAGTAATCAAAATAGTCAGGAGGAAAAAGACATCAGTAACCATATACATGAACAACATCAGTTTACATTTATATGTTCTGACACTTTGGCAAATTGCAAATTTAACAATTAATGAATTGTATAAGTACTTATCAAGTGGCTTTGTGTGGACATTTTTTTCTGAAATCAAATAATCCACTGTTGAGTATCCTGTAAAAAGGTTTCTGATGATAAGTGACAATGACAAGTGTACTTCTACCTCCATTATGTGACTATGTTGGTAATGAGTGTGGTTGTATAGATAGATGTATTACAAAGAGGAACCTAGTTACGATTTGTGTCACAACAAATGTACTTTCTGGATTGAAAGAATGACAAATCTGATGTAGACAGAACACTGACAAAAAAGGGTCACACAATGATATGTCATCTGTCACTTGGGCCTAATTAAATATTATAATGAAGTGCAGAGGATATTAGTGAAATGTAACAGCTCAACCTTTGTATTAATTATGTAATAAGAATGATGACTTAGTAGCAATGGAGCCAAGGACACAGATCATTGCAACGCAATATTTTTTAAATAATTTTTTTTTTTGAATATACCATGTCTGTTGCTTTCCAGAGCTGAAAATGGAAGAGAGCGATTACATCTGTTAACTTACTGCATTGTTGATGTCAGAAGAAAAACCTTTCTCCTCCAAAAACATCAATAACTCAAAAATAAAAAAAAATTAAAAACTACAATCAAATAACATATCAGTGCTGTAGTAGGCATTTCATTTCCTAATGATCAAATACTGTCTGCAACATTTTGAGAGGCTGTTCAGTCTTTACATCAGCATAACATTTAAGAGTGAGCACTGTAGTTCAGGAAGTGATAAGGTGCAGTCCATGCTGCAGTTTTGACATAGGTATGATAAAGTCTAGGCATGAGTATGATGCAGTCTAGGCATTGTACATCACATCACATGTGCAGTCTAGGCAGAAGTATGCCGCAGTCTGGGTACTGCACAGTTTAGGCAAGTGTATGGTGTGCAGTCAGAAAATGGGAAGGAAGTAGTTTAGGCATGGAAGTGGTATACGAAGTCTTGGAATAGATATGGAACTTTCCCATGCTAATGAGGTTTAATTTGGCATCACAATAAGAACACAGAAAATTACAGTGTATTTAGATCAGACTAGTTGTGAATAATTACATACACATACAGATCCCATGGACAACACACGCACAGAAAACTACAGAAATCATCATTTTGTTTCTTTCGTTTATTGATAAAATATACAAATGGTATGTATACGTGATTGCCAAACCATCAACATTTTTAAAACTTAATTTCACCTTTTAGAAAATGTTTATTTCCATAAGCAAATAATATATTCAACATCCCAGAGAAATGCTGACCTTCTTAGTATAATAGACTAACATGTTCTTCACCATTGCATGGTGATCAGGTGATGAGTGTGACAGATATAAATTAATATGTCTGCAATTTTTCATTATGCAGCATAGCGCCCTCAAACATTGTAAATATTCTAATGTTTGACCTTTACACTTACTATTAATAAAACAAAATTACATTAAAACATGAGGTATTACATAATTATTAGAACTTTCTTTGTTGCTATAGTGTTTGAGCATAGACATATGCTATCAGGTTTCCTGTTATGCAAAGAGTCTGTTAAACCAAGTTCATATAGCCTTTATTATACATCTGTCATCCTAACGCCATAAGTTACAGCGTGCCGTAATTTTGAGGTATTTTACGGGGTGTTTTCATCCTACCATATTAGGATATGCAAATTCCAAATATGGAATAACGCGTGTAAGCGTCCTCTAATAATAAAAACAAACCTTGCTGCCACCAGAGTTTGACCGGACAAAGAAGTTCGCTGATCCTGTTCTAAACATTTTGAATTTCGGCATTCTCATGGTGTATCCTTGGAAGGAAAAGATGTATAATAATAAGGTTATTACGAGAATACTTCAAAGTATGCTCTCAAACAGTATGCGGCGCATCAACCTCCGCTGCGCAACGGTCGATACTCCAGCTGCACTGTCTTTGTGCATACTTTGAGGTATTCTAGTAATAACTTAATATTTTTTAACATACTTCATCATCTGTCAGCATCCACTGTGTTTTGTCACTATTGTCTAAAAAGGGTTATCATGACCAACTGTATGCCATCAAGCATTAGTTCCAAACCAGATGATATCCATTATTCATGAACTGTTCCACCATGATAGAAGCCCCAATCCTGGTTCGCTAATTGACCCCTGTAATTTAATAAAAATATAATTATTCTATACTAACAACAAATATTCAAATTTCTGGTCACTGTGTGCATTTCACAATTTTAGAAAAAACAAAAAGTATAATTCAGAATTCATGAAAAAAATAATAACAATTTCAGAATAAAAATAAAGAGCCACCTGCTTGCATCACTTTTAGAAAACAAATTTACCTTAAGCCTCTCAAAAAAAGAAATCTTAGAAAAAACTCCTTTAAGCTGTGAGTACTGGAGATGTATTTAAAATTTAAGATTATTTGAGAGGTGCAACATGAAAACAATGTGATCCACAGTATTGAAGTATATAATACTTGCAATCTGAGTTATTCCAGAGCATCTGTGCCAGAAGTTCAATTTAAATAAGATTTTTGAGATATTAGAAATTAACTACCGATAATCAATATGCTTAGTTTTTAACATTAGACTAGTTTATGGATTACATCAGAGCATCTATGTTTCAAATTTCATTGAAATGTGATGATTAAGCATTTTATGCAAATTAGGTGTTTAGTATGGATGGATTTTAACCCAAGACTAATCAGGTCTGTGCATAGTCCAAGAGCATCCATGTACTAAGTGTCATTAAACTGTGACGATTAATACTAGAGATATCAGTGAAAAAGCCAAAAATTGACCTAATTAAACAAATTATGTAATTATTAAATATGGATTGGATTTTAACTCAAAATTAGTCAGAATGATGCCTTGTCCTAGAATAACTATGTACCAAGTTTCATTGAAATGTAATGATTAAGGTATAGTCATGGAAAAGCTAAGAATTGACTAATTATTATGCAGATTAGACAATTAGTATGCACAGATTTTTACCCCAAACTAATCAAGTCTGTGCATTGTTCTAGAGCACCTATTTACAAAGGTTTATTGAAATCTGACCAGCAGTTCTTCATGTATCAGAGAAACAGATTTACATACACACGCACATGTAAATAAATACACGTCTGAGAAAAAGGTACAGTCCCACAATCACATGACCATTCTTCAGCCATTTTGACTGTAAAGGTGAAAAAACAAAAACCGCCAAGGAAAGTTTCAATATAATCAACTCGGGTATGAAGACACACATCAAATAATTTTGAGGACATTTGATCGGATCAATGGCTTGGAACTTGTTTTTGAAAGAATAACATCAACAAGAAGAACCTTAAAATGACATAAAAATGCTATGACCAACTCATTATTATTAAGACAGGTGATCTTGTTGCAATGGATTATACAGTATAGGGGATTGATATAAGAGCCAAGAATGATCAGTGGTATGACAAGATGTTCTAAATATAATAACTGAGACTGAATAATTCATCATAGGTGATTCATTCTCAGTCATCAATTAATCTCTTGGTGAAGAAATCAATGTCAGTGCATTGCAGACATTCTGACACGACTTTATAATCAAAATAAGTGAATAAATTTAAACCCAGTCATTCTCCCTAAACAAATTTAGTATTCAGAAACATTGTGATTTAATCTCAAAAACACCTTGTACAATTCCATTTCATGAAGGTATAAACAGCTTTACGGAAATTTATAAAATATTCATAAAACATTTACCTTGGACTGAGATCAATTGAATCCAAAAAAGATGTTTTTATTTACGACAGAAGCTAATTACAATACACCCATGGGTTTCCTTTCAACCATTGGTATACTGCTACATGCACAAAATGTAATTGATACGGACATTATGCATCAGTGCAGTAATTACTCAGGTTGTTTTCAATCATCATTTGATATCATAAAACATTTATAAATATTTTATATAAATATAATTCATGCCTTCATGATAATGAATTTATCAGGTCAATTTGAATACAAAATTCATAAAAAAAATTTTACTCAGAAGCCTGGCTGCCATATTCATGAAAATAAGGCTTAGAAGAAACACAGTAGATGACCTACCATACAAATTAATTCTGGATAAATGTTAATGATTTTGACTGTATTTGGTTTACAGGTGTTGCTTGTCAATTACTGCGACTTTCACTGTTTCAAATTTGAATTAATCAATCAAATATGTAAATACAGCATTTAAATATTTGCTAATTTGCCATTAGATTCCTGTGAACTAATACATGAAGAACATTCATAACCATCGAACACTTGTTCCTTTTTTCTATTTAATTCAAAATTATAAAAAAATCCCTATAAATCTGGCAAATACAAAAAATAAACTATAAATGTTCAAATAACTTTCCAAAAAAAGTTATACAATTAAGTAATTAACGTTTTTGTGCAACCACAGGTATAGACTGGCGCAGTCAGGGCGATTAATTTGTTTTTGTAGTTCAAATAAAATTAAATAAATTGCGAAATGGAGGTGT